CTCTAGCAATGCATTGTTCTACCCTTTAAACTGATGTAGCAATGGAAAAAACCGGAAGGAGAATGGCATCTCTCAATTTCTATTTCATGTTGCAGGCACCAAGGACTCAAACACTAGCCCTGAACCCAGGGATCAATTTATGAGATGATTAGGATTAATCAGAATAATTTAATTCCTTTATAATTTTATTAGTGTCCTGAGCCTGCTAAGATGTACTGGATTTAGAGATTTATTAAACACTGGCAAGGAATCTTACCTCTTCCATTATTATGCTACTAATAAATTGGAATTAATTATGGAGGAAGATTCCAGTTTGCACGTCAAGGAACATCTCCTCCCCCCCTCCGCTCCAGCTAAGTACAAGAAAAGAAACCACCCTGTTACATGTACAAGCCTGTCTGCTCCTATTTCTTCTTGTGAACACACCTGTCAGGCAGTTGCAGCTTACCTGTGCATGACGGTAAGGGTGCCCATTCACCATCCACACACTCTATGATTTTTGATCCATAAAGTGCAAATGAGATGTTACACTGAACTTCCAATGTCTCACCATGCTGATATACTTGCTTAAGCACACTAGTAACCGTGCCATGTAAAATGCTGGGTGATGTCTGACAAGTTTGAACATTTTCTAGAAAAAAGAAAATATCACTCTCATTTTGAGTGTTTACTCAGTCCCACAGGGATATACCTGAATATAATTGTCCTTATGATTAAACTCTATTCCAACTATTACAACAACCATAGAAACAAAATCAATATTTTTATTAATATTTTTAATTTTTATTTTATGAATACTTTATTTTATTAATATTTTATTTATTAATAAAATTTTATTAATACTACACACTGTCACTCATGCCTTAGTCACCTCCCATTTGGATTTCTGTAATATGCTCTACATGGGGTTGCCCTTGAAGAGTATCCGGAAGCTTCAACTGCTGCAAGATGCAGTGGAGCAGACAGCTATATGTGCTCCAGGGCGGTACATGTTATACCTCTGCTCCGTGAGCCTCACTGCTTGCCAGTTTGCTTCCAGGTCCAATTCAAGATGCTGATTTTGATCTTTAAAGCCCTTCATGGCATGGGGCTGGGTTACCTGAGGGACTGCCTCTCCCTGATTACATCTGCCTGTCCT